GAGACTGTCGAACCAATTCCGAGTTCACCCCAGGTGTTGCTGCCGAACGAAAACAGCGACCCACAAGAGAGCTGCAACACCGCGTGGTTGAAACCGCACGTAATGCGGCGTATAACGCTACTGCTACTGCCGCCGCTGCGACCCCACCAACTTGCGGTCGGATCCCACTCGGCAAATCCCTTTTCCCTGTCTACCTGATTCTTGTGCCCGACACCAAGTTGCCCCATGTGGTTGTTGCCGAAGCCAATGACACGGCGACCGCCAGGCTGATACACAATTGTGTAGTTGGAGCCGCAGGCCACAGCGCGCTCACCACACGCAAACGCCCCACCAAGGTCAACGTACAGCGGCGCTAAGTCCGAGTTGGTGGCGCGTCTCGCCGTCGTCGTGTGAAGTGGGTTTCCATCACCAACCTTCTGCTGCTGTTGTTGCTGTTGTCTTGGTGCGGCTGTTTGGCCATACTTGTTTTCACCAAACGTGATGAGGTTTCCCTCGCGTGTCATGAGCACTACGTGCTTGTGCCCCGCTGCCCCGCAACATATATCGTAGAACGGCTCCGGCGCTTCAAATGGTGTGGGGGTGCGTGGCGCCTGCTGGCGTTCCAGCTCCTCACGCTCAAAGCGGAGGTACTTGGTGTGGTCAAGCTCAGCCGGCGGCGGGAGGGACTTGAGAAAGACTTCGGCCGGCGGTGATGGTGCCAAGCCGCAGACAGAGCCCAGCCCCACGATGCGCGTGTGGAGCCGGCGAAGCATCACCTAAAACTAGAGGCACAATTAGACAGTACCGTTCGGCAAGGGAGGCCAACAAAGCTGATGAAACAGTGGTAACGTAAGTATTAATATTATTCGTAGTATTAGTATTAGTAGTAGTGGTAAGTGTCATCCTGCTCAGGAAGGACAAGAAACAAGGGAAAGGGGTCCTGTTGACGGACAAACTTGCTCACATAGAAGAAAGGTATTGCTAGGGAATTATTTTCTGCTCATTTTTTCAATGGGTGTTTCTTATCTCGTGCGTTTGCACAAGGCCCTCACTTCGTCCTGCACCGTCTGAGGAAGCGTGTCATTGTTTTGTATTGATATATTGCCATGATGAGTAAAATCAAGATGTTTCCGATTAATCCAGCTGTGACGATAATATATACAGATTCATACTTTACGTGGTCTGACTCGCCCACCTGCCGCATCCGCTCCGCCACGACGGCCAGCTCGAACAACACCTTACCATGGTTGTGGAGCTTCTTCTCTATCTCCGCCTCCGCCTTGGTGAGGCTGTCGGGGTCGATCTCCACCACGTCGCGCTTGAGGAACTGGAATAGAACCCACTTGGGCGCCACCCTCGAGAAGGAGTTGTCAAAGCACACCGTGACCTCGGCCGGCAGCCCGTGCTTCGTCTCGGCCGCTGTGGGGGCCGTGTACGACTGGCTCCCCTCACTGGCACGCCGCCACTCGTTCACGAGGGCGGTGGTGGTGTTATCGCGCATGTTCATGAGAAGCGTGTTGTAGTGCATTCGCGTCGTCTCCTCCATCTTCCCCAGCGGCGCCACCGTCGTGGCGTACATGGTGACGTCTATGTCGAAGGAGCCGCCATCGGTGACACGGAACGTAAACGCAAGAGATCCGCCCGCCGCGATGGACTCCACCAGGCACTCGCGCTGGCCTGCATCAACTCGAGTTCCAAACGCCGATGCGGGTGTAGCGACGAGGAGAAGCGTGAATAGACAGAGGTGAACAAGAAGCGTGGAGCCCTTTGGGGCGCAGTGCTGTTGCAGTCGGAAGGGCAGCTGCATCATCCAGAACGTGAAGGAAGGAATGAAGGGAGGGATGGACGACGACAGCAGCAATAAGACTCACTATGGGCTACACACACACACACACACACAGAGAGACACGAGGTAGACGGAAAGCACAAGGAAAGAAAGAGCGATCATATTCATGAGAAGAACAAAAAAAAAATGAAATGCACGTCACAAGTCCTACATATATCCCAATCACACTGCTGCAGAGGGTTTTCAGGCAACCGTGCCCATACACATAGATACACACAGACTAATGAATCAAGCTTGTTTGCCCTGATTCATCTTCCGTTGTACCCGCCGGATGCCATGAAACAGAAATGAATCGAGGAGGCCAGCTACAGTGAAGACACCGCCACCGACCGCGCACAACTGCAACAAGAGATGCACAATGGAGGAATATGGATGCGTCTCAAGAACAGAGACCTTGATGGGGGACAGATCGTAGGTGATGAACACTCCTGGCACAAGTGACGGCGCCGTATCCGCTTTCAGGGCCCCCTCCTCACTGCTCTGACTGGCGGTGAAGTGATGCGTGACAGAGTACTGGTTGGATTCCACAACGGCGCCAAGGCCAAGGAAGGAGGCAACCTGGTAGTGTGTGGGGACGATCTTCACAAAGTAACTGAAGCGTCCATTCACCTCCTCGCTTGGGTCAACGGCGCCACGAATGTTCGCCAGGCCATCCAGCGGGTTGCTCTGCCCAGGAAACCGCTCACCGAACTCGAGTGTATGCACAATATGACTGAGGTTCAGGCGCCGCACCGTCTCCCCCTTATAGTCATGCAGGTGGCGCCCCATAAGGCTGAACATGCGGCCAGGCACGAAGTGAATGTTTCCCGTCACCCGCGCCACGGTGTACGTGGTGTACACGTTACACCCTTCCTTGCCGCTGATCACCGCCGCCTGCCGCAAGCGCTCCTCGGCGCACTGCTCCACGCTGATGTCGTCGACGTTCAAGACCCACCCGCGAATCGCGTACGCGCGCCGAACATCATCACAGGTGGGGCAGCAGTCGCCGGGATCGCGCTCCGCGCCGTAGCAGCTGGGGCAGTTCTCCTTCTCGGCGCCGTCGGGGTCGATAGCTTTGGTCATCTTCTTCTTCTCGTCCACTATCGGCCGCGCCTCGCTGATTGCCGACAGCGTCGCACTTTCGACGCGTGTCTTGACGGTGTTGCGCTCGGCCCCCTCCGCAAATGTGCCGAACGTGTCGACGGCGTCGGCGGTGATGAGATCGCACGGGACCCGCGGGAACGTGACGTTGACGATGATGTCCATCGTCCCGCCGAGGTGCGGGTCGACGTACATCTCGTGGTGCTCGACAGTGGAGCAGAAGTAGCGCACCTCGCCCACCACGAGGAAGGTGATTATGATGAGGGACAGCACGGAGAAGAGGCCGCCCAGCACCGTGCGCTGGCGTGCGTCCTGCTCGAACTTCATGTCAAACTTTGGGAAGACATCGAGTTGGCTGAGGCTCCGCATCCTTCCCTTTCGCCACAACGATACACCCGCACACACACACAGACTACACCTGGTGCGCGCAGGCGACAGCAACAACGTACAAAAATATACCAGAAAGGCAAATATACAGCCACGTAGTCAATCGTAGTACAAGGAGGCAGCTGCCCTAAAGACATGCAGCAGCTTTAAGAACGTGTGTAGACTGCTTGTGTGGGGCGTGCATATGGGAGGGTGGCTGAACCATCTCTACTTCTCTATTTGTTCACAAAAGGAGCTGGCCCTCCCCAATGAGAGGATGGCAAAACATATGCAGGCACACCCACCCACCCACACATATACATATATATATATATATATATATGAACAAAAAACCCCTGAGACATCTAGAACGGAAATAGAAATGAAACACTCTTCTCAAGCATCTAAAGAAAGTGAAACATCCACACATGGACGACAACCAAAAAAAGGGAAAAACACCTTTCTCCTCTAGAAACATCAGACCTCAGGCGGTTGGAACCTCTACGCGCGTGCGTTTGAGAAGACTGAGGGAGTACGCCGCGCTCATTCCGCCGATGCCGCCCAAGTTGTTCTCATCGCCCTCGTCATCGTCCTGCAGGCACACCGAAGCGTCTCCAACCCCTTGCGTGAGTCCCGCGTCAGCGCCCCCCTCCTCGTCCCCCCCCTCCCCGGCGTTGGGGCCAACGTCGAGAATGATACTCTTCTGCGCAAACGTGACACCGCGCGATGTGGAGCGTGACGACGGCGCCGACCGCCCCTCCGCTAACGGCCCGCTGGACGTCATATCCTTCAGATGTGCGTCGAGTTCACGTACACGGCGTGCCGCCTCCACCGCGCGTTTGGACTCCGCGTCGAAGAGACGTTCTGCCCGCACTCGGCATGCCTTACGCCGCCCTTCAATTGCCAGGAATCCCTCACGCACTCGCTGCATTTCCTTCTCCAAGGTTTGCTTCTCCTCCACCACCGCGTCGTACTGTTGTTGCTCGCGGCGCAGCGTCTCCAGGTGTGCCTCCGCTTGCTGGAGTTGGTCCTGCAGGAGCGCACACTGCTGCTCCCTCGCTAGCACCTCCTCCGTCATGTCCACAAGCGGCTCTGTGAAGTAGCGCTCCTCACGGTCAAGCAGCGCCGCCCACCCTTGGCTGAGGTTCAGCTGTTCCTCACTCTGGCGCTGCCGCGTGAGCTGCAACTCTGCCAGTTTTGCCCGCATCGCTTGCTCTTCCAGCAACAGCGACGCCTCTTCGGTCTCCAGCGCCGAGAATGTGTGTGTGCATTGGTTTGCCGTGGTGCTCCAGCGAGCTGTGCTTTGCTGGAGGAGGTCTGCAGGGGTGTCACCCGTCACGGAAGCTCGCGGGGACGGATTGCTCACACCGAACGGATTGGCCACCGGCGGCACCGAAGGAATGGTGTTGGAGGAGCACGATAGTGGCACATGACTCGTCTGATCGGCGTGGGCACTGCCTGTTGGCATTGCAGGACCCCGGTTGTATGCTGCAGCTGGCGGAACGCGCAGCGAAGGCGGTACTTCTCTTGCCGCCACAGCGGTGTAGTACGACACGGGGACGCCTTCTGGACGCCTGTAGTAAAGTGGTGGCGTTGTTGAGCGCATCGTATTAACTATAGGGTTGGTTAATAACTATTAACTGCACTCTGTCGCACTTCTCTAATGCGGTGCTTAGATCGCCCACGATTGACTACCAAAAGAAAGCAAGAGGAGACACCGAGCAACAATGGCGTGGCCGTCATTTACCACACAGCAACCCAAGTCTTTCGTTAGCGTGCCCACGGACGACTGAGTTAGCATATGGGTGGGCATTTGAAGGTGGGGAGGGTAAAACAAAATAGAGCGTATTAGCAGCCGCAGCAAAGTAGATTGGGGAGTGAAAGCGCGTGGAATGCTACCAGAACCTTCTCCAGCATGCCTCGAGATCTGCCATGGACGAAAAGGCCCACTTGAACTCTGCCTCCAAACCCCAACAAGCTATCATAAAGGAGAAAAAGCACCAACAACAGTAACAACTCTATGGCGTTTCCAAGAGGAAACAGAGACGGCAACGTGTGGATCATCACACGTGCCGATTATATATGGATAAGTGAGACCGCGCGGCTTACTTTTTGAAGACAAAGCGGGCAGTCAGGCTCTTCTTGAGGACGTCCATCACCTCGCGGATGTTGTTTGCCTTGGCACCACTGACCTCCTCGAGGAACCACACGGGCTTCGACTGATAACGCTTCATGAACGGGTGCAGCCGGCGAGGGTCGGTGGTGCCAAAGAGAGGCAGCGAGCCGATCGCGAGCGTCTTGACTGTCCAATCAAAGCGCAGCCCAATGTCCCACGGGTCGTCGGTGGTGCGGCGCCGCGCCACCAGCTCATTGTCGTCGAAGCGTTCAATCGTCACATTGCCGTTGGGAAACGTGAGGGCGTCCGCCAGCAGTGTCGACTCGGAAGGGGCGGCGGCCTCCACCGCAGGGGCGGCGCCGCTCGCAGGCACATGCACAAGCGGGACGTCTACGGCGCCTTGCGCCGCTGCTGCTGCCGCCACCGCCTCATTCACAACTGGCGCCATGTGGCGGGCCGCTACCTGCTTGCGGTACCGCTCCAACTTCTTCTTCGCCATGCGCCGCCGCTCCTTCACGGAAAGCCCGGCCTCCTCAACCGCTTTGGCCTCGTTCTTTGCACAGTCCTCTTCATTTCTCCTCGTTGACGCTGCCTCCCCCTTGACCCTTTTACGTGCGGCCTTTTCATCACACCTCTTGCGCATGAGAGCTTCCTCCTCAGCC